AGACATTCCTCTACCACTGAAGACCAGTCCAAAAAAGGTTGATATCTTTGCGCAGAGTAAAGTTCAATTTCTTAACGCGTGTCTACATTGCATGAAGGGTCTTGTTGTGTTCCTTTCTGTTTGCACCATAAATTATGACATCGTCACTGATGTTTTTCACACTGGGAATGTCACTAATAGCTGAGACAATCACATCTTGAAACATTTCTGCAGCAGCATTGATTCCAAAAATGAGACGTTTGTATCTAAACATCTCAATGGGGATAAAGATGTGGTGATGTGTCGCGAGTCAGGATGCAGGGGTAGCTGATGATAACCTTGGTTCAAATCCAATTTACTTGAATACTGTGGCACCATTTAGATCATGTATCAGCCCATGAAGGGTTGGCATAAGATGTCGCACTCGGGAGAGGGCTTTGTTGGCTTCCCTCATTTCTCCACACAGTCGAACACTACCGAGTTGTTTGGGCTTCGGGACAAGAACAACTGGGGAGACCCATGGTGTTGGTCCCACAGTAGGTTTAGTGATGTCTTCTTTGAGCAAGGACTCTATACAAACTTCCAGGTTCTTTCCTTGACGGGAAGGAATTCTTCCATGTGACTGATGTACAGGCTTTACACTTTCATTGATGTATAGCTTAATCTCAACATTATTCATTTTTCCAAGGCCAGTGAACAGGCTAGGGTACCTTAGGAAAATGTTTTCTCCACTGAGGCGGCATTAGCAGTGCGAAGTATGTCTAGTTCGGTGGCAGTGGCATATCCTATGACTATTAACAAAAAAGAACTCAGAATGTTTTCACTCGCTCCAGAGTCAACCAGGAAATTGCACTTGACACCATTGACTTTTAGTGAGACAAGCGGAGCACTAACCTTATCGACGGGCGTTTCTGCCCAGAACGCGTACCCGTCATCAGAACATGACGGCGTTTCACGTGGCATGCACGTGGCATGAGGAGTTTCTGGCGGCTGAGGTAACACAGAATTGGCACTTTCCGAAGGTTCAATATCCTTCGCCTGTTTTTCGGACACTTCGAGCGCTCTGGCTTCATCCAAAAATGCATCGAGGGTCATCGTCCCATCTCTTGATGCTTTATAGCGCAAACGTTGTGACGGACAAGATTGAATTATTTGCGATTTAATTTCCTTGTCGATTTTAGCAAACTCACATATAGATACCAGTTGACGTAAACAAGAGTGATAAGCATTCATAAACTCACTATGATTCTGTTTCGCTTGCCAAAAGTTGTAAATTTCATACTCGACATTCTTTTTATGGTCGAAGTGAAGTACTCGATGAGTTTCTCTTTCGCCGTTTCAAAATCATCTCCGCTCTGCGGCAAAGTTTCGAAGATGTCACACACCTCTTCTTCAGCATAATAAAGTAAAAAAGCTCTTTGTCTCGTTTTGTCCTCGATATCAGCAGCAACTAACAGATTTTCGAGCCGCTTGATCCATTTTCGCCATCGTTGAGCGATTGCACCATCTGGTGTATATCGAACGAATCGAAGCTTGGAAGACAAGAAGCCATCACAAAGACTGCGGAGACTGACCTGAAACGACGGGCCGTCCTTGTTGCCAATAGAATTTGGAGAACGAACACGAAAGTAATTAGCAGTAAACGGCCGTTACGAACCTATGGTCTGCTCTCTATTTTAATCCCAGAATTCCCTTGCTTAAATTACATGCATGACGTAAATTGACGCTGGTGTCACACGACACTACAATCTAAATATACCTGGAGATGGACAGATGCTCTGTTTACGACTGAGACCGAAGCCTCCGTTTTCATCTGCCCACACTAAAAAGGAGCGTTTTAAAACGGTGCGTTTTCTAAAGACTCCACTTTTGAAACCGCTATCCAAAGTCCCCGTTTGTATCAAAGTATTCGGGCGTCTGGATGACCGGAAAATACACGTCAAAAAGTATGCGTTTTCAAACAAAAACGCAGTGGTGTGGCACGGGCTTAAATTTACCATGGTCAGTCTAATTATATGAAATAATTATTTGTAAAAACTGAAAATGTGAGTTACCGTATTCACATAAAGGTCCAGTGAGGCCAGCAGCACAAGGAAGGTGATGTCTCTGACAGAAAAATACAAATGAAAAATTGCACCGTTAATTCACAACTTTAAGTCGGTAGCTGAAAATATCATAAACGAAATATGATCTTCCCGCCAAACCATTGTGCTTCTGAAACGAAACCCTGCAAAAATGAAAACATGTAAAGGTTACGAAAGGTTTTAAAATTTGGACTAAGAAACACGTGAAAGGAAATCAAGAGATTGAAAGG